AAACCTCCACTGGCAGAAAAGCAAAAATCCTTTTAGTCTGGAATACAGACTAAAAGGATCAAATCAGAACCAATCAAACCAAATTTCAGCTGTGATCTAGGGATGTCACCTGCTGGAACGGCAACGAGCAACGCAGTCGTCAGAGGTCCGTTAATGTCAGTCATTATAAGGCACTCAGTTTCATGAAGGCGCTGAGATTTTCACTGGGAGTGACCCGGGTGGACAGGATTGGACAAAGAAGGGACGGTGAAGGTGGAGCACAGATACTGATGTCTGAGATGGACCTGCGAGTCGTGAGGAGAAGAAGAACCCAGAGAAGATTTGTGGATGTCACGAAAGAGGACAAAGGAGATTGTTGGTAAACAGTAGAAGAGGGAATGGGATAGGGTAAGATGGAGGCAGGTGATTCACTTTGGCGACCCCTGAAGGCACCAGTACAAAGACAAAATCAGCAAAAAAATTTGTAATTTATCGTACATTAAATTATCGTCATTAAATGCAACACGCCTGCAGATTAGAGTCATAAACCCCGGGCAGCAGCAGTCGGGCTCTGAGTGTCATCATAGGTTCCCGACCCCTGAGCTATGGCAAGGACCTGACAGTTTTAAAACAGTGGTTAGTATCTTACAGCAGCAGTTTTCAAAGTGGGGGTTGTAGCCCCCTTGGGGTCACCAGTGGGCTTCTGAAAATTGCAAGGAAGATAATACAAAAAATAAATAAAAGAGTCAAATTATATATATATATTTTTTTTTTTTTCAAATTATATATATATATTTTTTTTGGTAAGCCTTTGTACCGCACAACATAAACTGTCGTAGTCGTCGGCTTCCGACGGTACAGGACAACTAGTCTTCATCAAGACCTTCCTTCAGTCTTAGGTGCATGTCAGTGATGAGTTTTTACAACTTCACTAAGTCATTGTCTGAAGTAAAACAGAACGGTTTTATCTCCGCTCTCCAACGTTTCGTGTTCCAAAATTTTCAAGAATTGTTTAAGCTGAAAAAAAAAAGGTCCAAGAGGATTTTGAGTCGAAGTCTAAATCACTGAGTCCATGTCATAGTAGGAAAACTTGTTGAATCTACAGTAGGCACAAGGTTTCTATTCCTATTCCATGAAAACAAAATCAAACAAATGCATTAATGATCATCACTCTTGGGATTTTAGTGCTAGTCCCTATAGTCCCTATAGAAACTAGTGAGTCTGGAGTCGGATTCCACATGTGAGGAGATTCAAAGTGAACCGCAACTCAAAGAGAAAATCCTGAAGGGGAATCTAAGTCCCTACGGTTTCAATCGAGAAACATCCTAAACAGAATCCCGACGGCTTCAAGACTGAAGTCGCTGTGAGAATGTCGTAGGTCATTTGGTACCGGACAGCAGTGGGACACAAATGTACTTCAGTTTTACCAAAGTACTTCGAAGAATACACTCATAACCCTTTACTTTTTTTCATTTAATCTGTCAACGTTAAAGAATACAGTCATAACTTTTTTTCATTTAATCTGTCAACGTTTCAAAACAAAAGGTCATTCAGACTCTGATACTGACAGAAGAAAGACTATGTTTTATTTTGAAAATGTATTGATTCTTCAATGAAAAGGTCGGGGACCACTGATCTAGACTATCAACATAGTCATTTCTTTTCCACTATAACTATAACTTCGACCAGTGATGTCGTGATCCATCTGTCTTTCCTGTCTAACCTCTCCAGAAGGTTGAAAAGAACACTTCACACTGAAATATACAGCACAGGCTTCTCACCAGAAGCTTCCTGACTGCAGCGGAGACAAATGCAACTGTCACAGAGAAATGTAACAAATGGAAGAGGGGAGTCATTTGAAAACACTGTTTACAGATCCCATGTAAATGACGTATTAAAACATTTGGAGAAACGTAGCCGTGAATATCAATTAGCCTTTCTTGAACCCTTTTGATATTTTGCTCTTTGCATAATGTAATTGTTGTAAATGATCATTTAGTGACTTTACTACGGTATTGTAGAGCGGAGCGTTCAAATCACATGATTCAGAAGGTGGACTGTAAAAGTCTCTGTTGAAAAAAAAAGACATCAAAGACATCAAAAGTTTTAATAGCTTCGAGGCTACATTAGCAGCTAAGCTACGTGGCTTCGTCAGAGAGTGGACGAAGTCAGAAATGAGCTCAAACTCTCCTTAAAATATTTGAAATTGCTTCGAATATTCTTATTGACTTAAAGTTTTAAGAATTCCACCTAAAACTAAGATTCGATTAGAATTGACCAGGAAGAAAGTAAAATGGCCTCACAGGGACTCTGAAGTTAGCAACAAATAAAGTCAGAATTGTCTTGGTTCAGTACGCACTACATATTGAACAGTACGCAATTTTATATTTATTTTATCAAATTCTAATGATGCTTAAAGCTCAGTGCATCTGTTCTCGATTACTTTGCCTTAGGCAGCATTGTTGAGTTTAGCACTTAGCACACGGTACATGTGGAGCTAGCTTGTTGCAACATGGCTAATGCCTCAAATTAGGGGTGAGATTGATGGAAAATTCAATTACGATTCAAAAATGTTTAAAAAAATGTTCATAACTAGATGACAGGAACACAACCGCATTAGCACACATTTAATAAATAAAAATTTGTGAATGTTGTCCGGAAATATTCTTTAATCAAAAAGTTTACTTTTGTGTTGAAACAAATTAAAGTTAAAAAGACTATCAAACCTGAACCAAACTGTGAATTTTGCTACCTAGAGTAGCAAAAAAAAAGTAGTTAGCTCAGAATTAGCCAAAGATTAAGCAAGAAGAAGTCAAAAACAAGCTAACCAAATAAGAAAGCAAATTTTGCAAAAACGTATCAAAAAAATAGTTAAGGAGAAGTTGAACAACATATGCTCAATGTTTAATTTAAACATAAAAGATAATAAATGATCATTTAAGGATTTATTGTAAAAAAAACATTGTAGTTTGCCGTTCTGCAACGCCTATACTTTTCTCTGACGATCCCATTAGCCAATCCCTGAAGTTTGTCTAATGAACTGTCGGTTACACCCTTCTAATCAACGCGACAGGTCTAACTGCCGCCTGCAGCGACAGGTTCAGAGATCAAAGTGTGAGCCACAACATCTGTGAACCAACATGTTCGGCTGTAAAAACAGTTCTCACCGGTGAGGGTTCTTCCTGATCAGAACGTTTTCAACATTCATGCTGCTGTTTAATATCATCAGGACGACCTGACGCTGTGTTCCTGTACTGTTATGTTTTTTTCATATTATTATAATTTTCTTCGGCCCCTGACAGTTTCTGAAACTAATTTGGAGCCTTAAGCTTAATGTACATCACATCAATAAAAACGTAATTTCTCGGAGACTTGGCCGCTGCTCGGAGAAGAGAATGCCCTTCACCAGCTTCTGTACGGAAACGGCTCGTGAGTGGATATGACTCAGACACAGAGGGGAGGGGGCGGGGGGC